GGCAATATGCACCAGCTTATATAACGATGGTATTAACGATTACGATAAGGAGTGGGCTACGGTAAGTCGTAAAGTACATTGTTCACAAGAATCTCTTTATGACGTATCTCATTTTGTGAAGTTATTAGACTCAGATTTAGTCCGTGCCACAGTAGCGGGAAGAACAAATAGGGGGCTGAGCAAGTTTGTAAATAAAAAATGATCCACAATTTTTAACTGAAATTGTGCTTGAATGTTTGCAGCTGGAGCTATAGCAGACCTTTCTTGAAACTTCATCATCATCCACTGTAGGATGAGCACCATTCAACCAGCCTGACCAGACTGTACCACATCTGTATGCTGGCACACGCGTTGTTGGCATTTTTGTTCCTGCAGCTCCCACAAAACGATACCATCCCTCAGGGAGTGAGTTGTCACATAACTCTGAACCATCCGGCGTGCTGTAACTTCTTTTTCTGTTAGCTTCACTTAGGTTGCGGTAATTATAACATGGATCGGCTAAAAAGTTCAATAATAATTGTGAAAGGAAAATCTTATCATCTTTTTTACCATAACGTAGCTCAAAGGAATCACTTGAAGCTATGGACTTCTCACTTTCACCTCACCATCATTTATATATTTATATCATCATCATATATATATTTATACGTAAGTTTAAGAATTAAGAGGACGCATCGATTCTCTGTTAATCTGAGTTTTCGCCTAAGCGCTCGTCAGACAAAACTTTATTCGAATAATCAGAGTAACAGAGAATCGATGCGTCCTCTTTAATTCTTTAACTTATGTATACTTAGCTCTGCTACCGCAACATTGAGCACTTTACGCCAAGGTAGACTCTACCCCCACATTTATATATATATATATTTATATATATAAAACACATTCCTTTGACCCAAAGATAGCAGATGCTAAACAGGGAGGGGGTCAATTTTACTTTAACTTAATTAAATTACACTAGAAATAATATAGAAATAAAAAAGAAATAAATAAAAGGAGGAAAAATATAAGAAGTTCATTTCTTGAGTTTCTAGGTGTACGAAAAATATTGTAGAAATTTAAGTTAAATAGTAATAATAATGATAATAATAGTTATAGTAATAACAATAATACTAATAATACTGCGCGCTCCTTGGTAACATTTAACTAGACGTACATTATGAAGTTACGAAGACTGAAAATAATAAACTTACCTTCACATATAGAACCATTCCCAATATAGGTAGGATTGCAAGAGCAGTTGTATGAGCCCTGGGTATTAACGCAAGAGGCATTCAGATGGCAGTCGTTCATCTTGACGACAAAATCCTCACTGCACTCATCAATGTCTAGAAGATAACGTCCTCAGTTGATAGAGATAGGAAAAATTTGTAACGCGCAAGTTTACTAACATTAGTGCAGTTTCTAGCCTGTGAACACAGCCGCTTCTCATGTCTCAGTTCAATACTGATCGGCACAATTCACAACATGGAGGTCAATACATACATAGCCACTGGATGTATCGCATTCACAGGACTGGATTTGGCCATAAGAATAACGATTCGCCGGATAAATGTTGCTCGTTTTTGGATTTCACTCCACCTGCCATGTCTACAGTTGTAAATCACATTGCATATTTTCATGTATGAACGATTGTTTACATACCATATGGACAGACTTTTTATGAAGTGTTAGGTTTATTATCTAGTTTACATGTATATAAGGAGGTATAATTCGTCTAATGACAATTAACTGTTAAACAGACTTAAGTCAATGATTTATAAATCGATCATGAAAGATATAAATCATATAAATTTCCCTTCTCGATAGAAATAATGCAACATACTGACAGCTTGCAAAAAATATCAAAATACCTCTCAGAACTTGAAACAAGGCATATTAAGCCTGAAGGCTCATAATATTCTCTGTCTTTAAGTCGAAAAGAGCGAATAAACTCCGCAAGATACATGTTTAGTTCCTCAGGCGATGTTGTGTGTACTTTAATGATTGAAATATTAGACATTTTCAATGAGCGCTTGGGCTGAGGGGGGGGGGAGAGGAGGGAGCACTTATTTGTAGGGGGGATGCGTCCTCGACTAGTCGAGAGGGGCGCTTCTTAAGTTACCTCAGCAATAGGACATAAAATCAAAATAATCGATAATACATAAAGGAACTCTGCAACCACATGAACATAGAAAATATTTTCGTATGGAAAATAAAATAATTTTACTGTACAGATTGCGCTGTTATTGAAGGTTGAAAAGTTATATAAAAAAGTGTGGCAATAGAAACATATTTTCCTTGTATCTATACTATTTAAAAAAGTGAGGGAGGAGAAGGGTAAGGTGGGGGTGGTTATTCGAGCGTGGCCGCATATTCGAGAAAAATATCCTAATAATAGTGGAATGATGTATCTCTTATTCAATGGTAAGAGAAGAAATCTTGCTCATTGCCTTCTTAGATATCGTTCCCTCTGGGCTCGGAAACACTCTAAGCAACTCGTAAAATATCCGCACCTATTATATTTTAAACCAGCGAAAACTGTGTATCTATGCATATTATGATATCCGTAACTTAAAAGAAATACGAGGTAGGGGCGTGAAAACCATTGCACTGCCTCTTGATCATTAGCCTAGTTACGAAGACAATACTGGTAATGGAAAGGTGCTTTGCTCAACATAAGGTATTGCTGTTCTAATATACATTGGCAAGACTGTCCATCTCCAATGTATCCTTCCTTACAGATGCAATTATGTGAACCATTAGTGTTGGTATAGTTAGCATTAGCATCACAAACATCATCGTTGCATTCATTAATATCTGTGAACACAATAGATTCGCAATGGGTAACTGAATAGAGAAAAAAACTCTTCAGCCAGTTTGTTGGATAACAAGGCAATTATTTGTGATGAACAGTTATTCTGCTTTTTTTTAAAGTATAATCTAATTTTTACCTTGGCACGACTCTCCTTTTCCAGTGTATCCTTCCTTACAGGTGCAGCTATGGGAACCATTAGTGTTTGTACAATTCGCATTTACGTCACAATCATGGCTTCCATTGTTGCATTCGTCGATATCTAGAAGCATAAGTGATATACAAAAAGTATGGTAATAGAAATACGATAGTGGTGGGTAACAACAGGTCTCTAAAATGAGGGCTAATTTCCATGGGTAATTGTTTCTGTGCAAAGCTACTTGTTTTAGATAGTGTAGGCTATACTCTACCTTGACATAACTGTCCATCTCCAGTGTATCCTTCTTTGCATGTACAAATATGAAAACCATCTGTGTTGTTACAGTTTGAATTAACGTCGCAAACATGGTTGCCATCGCTACACTCATTGATATCTCAGAACAAAAATGAATTGCCAAAACGTTGCTCGACAGAAACAAACATCAGATTTCTAAGTTTTTGAGGAAATAGTTTTTTTTTTCTATTTGATAAGTCTAATGCAGTGATAATACCTTGGCATGACTGTCCGTCCCCAGTGTATCCTTCCTTACAAGTGCAGTTGTGAGAGCCGTCAGTGTTGGTACAATTTGCAATCACGTCACAAGCATGGCTGCCACTAAGGCACTCATCGATATCTGGTAGTACAAATGAAAAAATATAGAATACTTCATGCAAAGTCTGTCTGTATGGTATTTACGCACGAGCTCGCAGTATCCGAAATCGAGAGTGTCATAATATTGGCTGGCCTCCGTTTCCGGCCAGCGGTCATCATGTTAGTACCGAGGTCACCGCATATAAAATATAGGCATTGATCATTATTTACGTGTGATTTAGTTTAGTGTTCTTCTTGCTTCGGAATAAAACGTGGTGCGTAAAAACAGGCCTCAAAAATGTGGGCTAATTTTCATGGGTGATAGCTTATGAGCAAAGCTGCTTGTTTTAAATGGTGTGGGCTATTCTTATTCACCTCGACATGACTGTCCATCTCCAGTGTATCCTTCCTTGCAAGTACAAATATGAGAACCATTTGTGTTGTTACAGTTCGAATTAACGTGGCAAACATGGTTGCCATTGCCACACTCATTGACATCTGTGAACAAAAATTAATTGCCAAAACGTTACAAGACTGAGAGAAAAACATCAAATTTCTAAGTTTTAATGGAGAGAGGTTTTTTTTTTTATTTTTGAGAAACTCTATTCTGCTATTTGCTGGGTCAAATGTAATGATTATACCTTGGCATGAATGCCCGTCTCCAGTGTATCCTTCCTTACAGGCGCAGATATAAGAGTCGTCAGTGTTAGTACAGTTCGCATTTATGTCACATACATAGCTTCCAGTGCTGCAGTCGTCGATGCCTGAGGACACAAGTAATGTAGAAAAAGGTAGCTTATTAGAGGAACAACACAAGAGCGTGGAAACATTCATTTTAACTTTAACCCTGGGAGGAAATATGACATCGTTCTGGCCTGATTATTGTCCGGAGAACTTATAATTCAGTGCAATCTAGAGTTAAAGAAAACAAAATATCAAAACAAAATAACAAAATCTCCTTTCTGGCCTACACAAGGAAAAGCAAATTAATCGAGTGAACTTGCCATTTGTCATCGTGACACCCTACAATTGAAAGACGCCATTGAAGTGGAATTAGGGCTGCTGTTTCTACCTTCTACATCAAAATAGCATGGACTCAAGAACCAAAATTCGTGTGCAAAACTTACAAGAACTCAGCTCGTAGATTTAGTTCTTAATTCTGTGACCACCATACACAACACGTAATCTTATTTGTGACGTCTCAAAAATGTCACGCATGTACAACACTTTTGTCACACCTCGTAGATACCTTTTCGCTTGCTTCACACTTTGCTTTAAGGTCGAAAACAGACATTTTATTAACCATGAGTATCTCAGCAAGCTTATTTGCCTACTTGTATAAACTCCTGCTGCTGTCAGATGAGTCGCGTAGGAGAATGAAGTAAGTTTTTAGTATTTCAGTTCGTGCCGTGCTGTTTATTATTTTAAGAAAAAGTTTTTAAAATGTTTTAGTAAATAGTTGGTCCGGATCGCAAATGATCCCAAAATTGAACTGCACATGATTCCTTTAAAAATGCGTGAAATTATGTTTTTTTACCCCCAGGCTCCATAAAAGGACTAATTTATTACTAATCTGAAGTTAACTGATGAAACCATGTATTAAGACAATAACTGATACAATAGTTATCTGCTCATTATTAACCATTTTGTAACTTTTGGTTGTATTCAGGAGCGCACTTCACTGTTGTAAGACACGAACTCTTGTAAAACCCCTCCTAAAGCTATTTAACCACACAGATAATTACATCCGCTCTCATTGACTACTTTGCAACTTTTGGATGTATTTTTTTGGGATAACTTCATTTGTTATAAGAGCCACATACTTGCAAAACACCCCAGTTTGTCGGATTACAAGGCAATTATTTCTGATGAACTGTTCATCTGCTTTTTTTCAAGTCTAATCTAAATTTTACCTTGACATGACTCTCCTTTTCTAGTGTATCCTTCCTCACAGGTGCAGCTATGGGAGCCATTAGTATTTGTACAATTCGCATTCACGTCACAATCATGGCTTCCATTGCTGCATTCATCGATATCTAGAAGCATAAGTGATGTATAAGAGGGAACGCAATAGAAATATGAGAGTGGTGCGTGAAAACAGGTCTCTAAAATGTGAACTTATTTCCCTGAGCGATTGTTTATGTGCAAAGCTGCTTGTTTCAATAGTGTTCTCACTCACCTTGACATGACTGTCCATCTCCAGTGTATCCTTCCTTGCAAGTACAAATATGAGAACCATTTGTGTTGTTACAGTTCGAATTAACATGGCAAACATGGCTGCCATTGCTACACTCATTGACATCTGTGAACAAAAATGAATTGCCAAAAGGTTACTTGACACGGAGACAAACATCAAATTTCTTTCTAACTGGAACAATAGTTATCTACTCATTATTGACCATTTTGTAACTTTTGGTTGTATTCAGGGGCTTACTTCACTGCTTGTAAAACTCCTCTCAAAGCTATTTAACCACGGAGATAATAACATCTGCTCTCATCGACTACTTTGCAACTTTTGGATGTATTTATTGGAGTAACTTCATTTGTTGTAAGAGCCACATACTTGCATTAAGCATTAAGGATGGAGACTTAGTTTTCTTAGTTTCTTCACTTTTATGGACAGTAAATTATTTTTGTGACGTCAAAACAAGAACAAATTCCTTAGCCACCCCTCCCCCTAACCCCCAAAATAGGTTAAATGTGGTTAAAGTTTGCATAGAATCAAGAGTGACAGTAATTTCTTAGCGTGAGGTGGAAGTTGTTCATTTTGACGTCATAAACTTCACTGTACTCGTCAATGTCTGGAAGAGAACATCCTCAGCTGAGAGATATAGTAAAGATTTGTAACGAGCAAAGAACAAGTTAAAACAGGGTTATATCTTGAACCCTTCATACTTTTAGAATCAGCAATATAGTAAGCGTCCGGTGTGGATGAAAGATGGATACTTTTTAGCTCTTTATTCTTATAAAGTAATATATATGTCAAACATTTCGCACAATGCGAACCAAAAATCTTGCAACTTTTATACGAGAACCAAGTTTGGCATTGGTTTTTCTTTCTACATGAATGCATTTCAGCTACCAAACTTAGTTTACTTACATTTGCTAAGTACAGTTTCTAGCGTGGGAACAAAGCCGCTTCTCATGTCTCAGTTCAATACTTATTGACACAATACACAATGTGGAGGCAGCCACTAGGAGGATCGCATTCGCAGGACTGGATTTGGCCGTGAGAATAACGATTCTCCGTGTAAACGATGTTCATTTTTGGAATTCACTCCACTTGCCTTGTCTGAGGTTGTAAATCACATTGCATCTTTCCATGTATGGAAATTTTTTAGCAGGCCCTGGATATTGTTAAAAGTAGCTTTGTATGATCTAATATACCGTGGCATGACTGTCCGTCCCCAGTGTATCCTTCCTTACAGGCGCAGTTGTAGGAGCCGTCAGTGTTTGTACAACTCGCAGTCACGTCACAAGCATGGCTTCTATTGAGGCACTCATCGATATCTAGTAGTACAAATAATATAGATATAGAATACTTTCTGCAAAGTCTGTCTGTATAGTATTTACGCACGAGCTCGTATTATCGGAAATTGAGTGAGCGAACGCGGCAAACGAGTAAGATTTTTGATATAAAGCAACGATTGTTTATATACCGTATGGACAGACTTTACGTGATGTATTAGGTTTATTATCTAGTTTTTTCACTGCAGCCGAGTTTTACGGCGCTGTCATTCCGAGCGATCTTCATGTCCTGGTGAATACCTCTCAATACTTGAAGCAAGGCATGTTAGCCTGAGGGTTCATAATCTTCTCTGTCTTTAAGTCGAAAGGAGCGAATAAACTCCGCAAGATACATGTTTAGTTCCTTGGGCGATATTGTGTGTACTTCAATAATTGAAATAATAGACATTTTCAAGGAGCGATGATTTATCATATAATACGAGAAGAAATTTTGCTCATTGCTCTTAATTATCCCCTTTCCTTCCGTGCTCGGAAGAATACCAAGAAACTCGTAAAATATCCACGCGTATGTGTTAAACCCTCGAAAAATGTGAATGTACGCATACGACGAAATCCGTAACTTAATAGAAATACGAGGTCGGGGCGTGAAAATCATCACGTTACTTCTTGATCATAACTTCAGTTACAAAGACAATACTTATTATGAAATGCTGCCTTGCTCGACATGAAGTATCGCTGTTCTAATCTACGTTGGCAAGACTGTCCATTTATAATTTATCCTTCTTTACAGATGCAATTATGAGAACCATTTGTGTTGGTACAGTTAACATTTGAATCACACCCATGACTATCATCGTGGCATTCATCAATATCTGTGAACACAACAAATTTGTTAAGGGTAACTGAATAGCGAAAAAAAATATTGTCGGATAACAAGGCAATTATTTCTGATGAACAGTTATTCTACTTTCTTCAAAGTCTAATCTAATTTTACCTTGGCATGACTCTCCTTTTCCAGTGTATCCTTCCTTACAGGTGCAGCTATATGAGCCATTAGTGTTTGTACAATTCGCATTTACGTCACAATCATGGCTTCCATTGCTGCATTCATCGATATCTAGAAGTATAAGTGATGTATAAGAGGTAACGCAATAGCAATATGACAGTGGTGCGTCAAAACAGGCCTCTAAAATGTGGGCTAATTTCCATGAGTGATAGTTTATGTGCAAAGCTGCTTGTTTTAAATATTGTAGGTTGCTCTCATTCACCTTGACATAACTGTCCATCTCCAGTGTATCCTTCCTTGCAAGTACAAATATGAGAACCATTTGTGTTGTTACAGTTGGAATTAACATGGCAAACATGGTTGCCATCGCTACACTCATTGACATCTGTGAACAAAAATGAATTGCCAAAAGGTTACTTGACAGAGAGACATTCATTAAATTTCTAAGTTTTTAGGTAAAGAGGTTTTTTTATTTTCGCGAAACTTTATTCCGATATTTTCTCAGTTTAATGCAAAAATTATACCTTGACAAGATTGTCCGTCTCCAGTGTATCCTTCCTTACAGGTACAGTTTTGCGAGCCATTAGAGTTGGTACAATTTACCTTCGTGCCACAACCACGGCCGCCATCGTTGCACTCATTGACATCTGTGAACACAAATGATTTGCAAAAGATAATTGAACCTTTGTAACGGAATTTTTACATAGGTACTAAATGATGTACACCATGGATGAGCTGCTATTTCTGCCTTCTAAATCCAAATAGGATGGATTTAAGAACTGAAATTCGTGTGCTAAACGTATCAGAATTCAACTCGTAGTTTAGTTCCTAATCTGTGACCACCATACACAATATCTACTCGTACATGTAACGTCTCAAAAATGTCACGCATCTACAACACTTTTGTCACACCTCATATATACCTTTCCGTTTGCTTCACACTTTGCGTAGAGGTCGAAAATAGACATTGTATTTACCATGCATATCTAAGGAAGCTTATTTGCCTACTTGTATAAACTCCTGCTGCTGTCATATGAGGCGCGTAGGAGAATGAAGCAAGTTTTTAGTATTTCAGTTCGTGCAGTGCTCTTTACTATTTTAAGAAGAAGTTAAAAAAGTTTTAGCAATAAGGTAATCCGAATCGCAAATGATCCCAAAATTAACCTGTGCATGATTCCTTTCAAAATGCATGGATTGATGTAGATTTTTTACCAGGCTCCATAAAGGGACTAATTTATTACTAATCTAAAGCTGAGTTATTGACCATTTTGTAACTTTTGGTTGTATTCAGGAGCCTACCTCACCGTTGTAAGAAACGCCCGCTTGCAAAACCCCTCTCAAAGCTATTTAACCACACAGATAATTACATTTGTACTCTATTGACTTATTTGCAACTTTTGGATGTATTTTTTTAAGTTATTTCATGTGTTGAAAGAGCCACATACTTTCAACCTCCCCCCACTGGGTAATTTAAACAGGTGGATAACATTATACAATTGACATTTTCCACTGGAAAGCTATTTAAGTCTTTTAATGAGGCTAAGGTCACGGCCTCGCAGCTACTTGTCTGTGCGTGCATGTCCTGTCAACGAATTGCTTGCCTCTGATTTTCAAAGCATATTTATAAGTTATCGATCTTACTCTATTATCGATCAGAGGACAAACGACGCCAGCTTTACGCTTTTTTGTAGAAATTGGATGAAGGTGCTCCTACATGTTTCCTTCTCTAATGGCTTACCTTACACATGATCAAACTGAATACTTACGTTGTCGTCTTGTCCATATATCGATTGATTAATATGTGCGCTAGCTTTGAGCGTTATGTGAAGATGAGATGATTACTTTCTACTACAGGAGACATCGACACTGACACATCGATGTGCTGAAATTTCGACTCACTTCTATCTTTTGTTCTAATATGTTGTTTTTATGGTTGAATTCTTAATAAATAGCAAAAACTGGGGCACATCAGTACTTACCTTTCCTATTATCACTAACGTATTTCGAAACTTGTTTTCCAATGAACACTGCCGCGACGATTGCCACTGCAATAGCAACAAGAATGACAATAACTCTTCGGCGGGATCTAGGCGGACGAATGGCAGCTGTCAATAGATCTCTGCTTCCCGTAATGGAGAGTTGTTCTCCAGGATTTGCAGGTTCTCGATGGATATGATCCAAAGAGATAGTTTCGTTTTCTGACGACGCCATCTCAGATGAGATCTCTAGGCATGGATGCAGGATTTACTTCACTCTTAAGATGCTGAGAAAAAAGTTACTAGCGTGAAAAAATCACCAGGCAGATAATTCCCTACATTTGAAGCTTTAGCTTATGATCATGAAAGGTAAACACGGCAACTTTCGCAATTCTTAAAGTCTGTTCTTCGAGTTGGCTTGAGTTTCAGTTTCGTAACTGTTAATGATTTAGTCATGCGTGATATTTTATGCATAAACGTGACCTGAATCTCGATTGTGTGAGCCACATGTTGCTTTTAGGAATTTTCCAATACGATAGGAACCCGTTTCTTTTCCTTTTCCAAAGAAAATTGCTGGTTAGCAGTTTTTCTTGTCTTTCCTTTCCCAAGAAGGAGGAGGAGCGCAGAAGAATCTATTAGCAAAAACTGTTAATGTTTAAGTTCAGTTGAATTATGAATAGTTGATAAACAAATCTATATATGTTGCCATGCATCTGTTCCCTGATGGACGACATTGTGCCGCAGGCAAAACAAAACATTGTTTGTGTGCTTTATTTCTTTCAATTATTTATACTTAACAAATGAAGCAATAAATCGCCCATCTTGCTTAGGATTAGAGTTTAGATCAAGAACGTCCTTCTCTACCACTGTAAATGACACTGTTAGATCCACGATGATCGATGATGGGTTATGATTTTTTAAGGGTGCATGACGATGGGTAACAGTTGCAAGCCTTACTTAGAGTTGCTTATGCATTAGGGTCGCCAAAAGGGATCACTATCTTCCTTTGGAAACATTTCAGAATTGCGGTTGACATCGTTCTAGTAGCTACCCTTTTTCATGCAAATGCAACAATCTTTTAAAGTACTGCAACATCTAAAGCGCACTCTTGGGATCCGGAAACTGGGAATTTTCAGAAATTTTCACTGTTCTTATCACAATGATGGAAATAATACAGAAATGAAGTGAAATATCACGTAAAAAGACAATCGATACTCAAAAAACTAAAAAAACATTCATTAAAAAGGAGAAAAGGTCTTGAGTTTCTAAGTGTACGAAAAATATTGTAGAAATTAAAGTTGAATAATGATAACTATAACAATAATGATAACGAAAGAAATTTCACTGTTCTTATTACAATGACGTAGCCTCAAGAATCCCTCAGAATTAAAGACTAATCCAAGTCTCGTGAGTTCTTCGGTGATTAACATATATGATTTAGTCCAAAACTTTGCCAGTCAAAGACAAATGCCCTGACCACCCCCACCACCCCTAATAAAAGGCTAGTCCGTGTACCAGTGTTGAGTAGCTGCTCTTTTTAATAGCTTACTACTCACTTAGGTTTTTGCATTTTTTACACGGATCGCCTACAAAGTTAAATTACATTAGTGAGGAGAAATTTTCATCGATCTTTTCATAATGACGAAGCATTAAGGTTGCAGACTTTTAATAATATCGTGAGTTTTACGGACAATAAATTATTTTATTACGCATATAATTTAGTCCGAAATTTTGCCTGGTAAGACAAGAACAAACTCTCCAGCCACCCCCTTCCCCTCACCCCCAAAATAGGTTAAATGTGATTAAAGTTCGCATAGAATTAAAAGTGACGGTAATTTCTTGGCGTATTAGGCGACAAGGATTTATGCCTCCACTTATCAAACATTTGTATTACAAACTCTGCGTGCTCCTTGATAACATTCAAAAAGACGTACATTATCAAGTCACGAGGCCTGAATATAACAAACTTACCTTCACATATAGAACCATTCCCAAAATAGGTAGGATTGCAAGAGCAGTTGTGTGAGGCCTGGGTATTTACGCAACAGGCATTAGGATGGCAGTCGTTCATTCCTCACTGTACTCGTCAATGTCTACTGGAAAACATCCTCGGTTGAGAGATATGGTAAAGATTTGTAACGAGTAAAGAACATGCTTCTAGTATCAGCAATGTAGTAAGCGTCCTGTGTGGAGACAGTGCAAGAAAGACGGAAATTTTTGGTGGGGGGGGGGGGTGTTATCCGAGCATGGCCGCATTTTCGAGAAAAATATCCCAGGTAATGGTGAAATGATAAATCCCTTACTCGACGGTTTATCATATAAGACGAGAAGAAAATCTTGCTCATTGCTTCTAGTCAGTTTGTTGGATAACAAGACAATTATTTGTGATAAACAGTTAATCTGCTTTTTTCAAAGTCTAATCTAATTTTACCTTGGCATGACTCTCCTTTTCCAGTGTATCCTTCCTCACAGGTGCTGCTATATGAGCCATTAGTGTTGGTGCAATTCGCATTTACGTCACAATCATGGCTTCCATTGCTGTATTCATCGATATCTAGAAACATAAGTAATGTATAAAAGGTAATTTAATAGAAATATGATAGTGGTGCGTGAAAACAGGTCTCTAAAACGTGGGCCAATTTCCATGAGCGATAGCTTATGTTTAAAGCTGCTTGTTTTAAATAGTGTAGGCTACTCTTATTCACCTTGACATGACTGTCCATCTCCAGTGTATCCTTCTTTGCAGGTACAAATATGAGAACCATTTGTGTTGTTACAGTTGGAATTAACATGGCAAACATGGTTGCCATCGCCACACTCAATGACATCTGCGAAAAAGATGAATTGCCAAAAGGTTACTTGACAGAGAAACAAGCATTATATTTGAGGAAAGAGGTTTTTCTTTTTATTTGCTCGAGGCTTTATTCTGATATTTGCTCAGTCTAATGCAAAAATTATACCTTAGCATAATTGTCCGTCTACAGGTGCAGTTATGGGAGCCGTCAGTGTTAGTACATACATAGCTTCCGGTGCTGCACTCGTCGATGTCTGGGGACAAAAGTAATGTAGAAAAAGGTAGCTTAACAGAGGAACAACACAAGGGCGTAAAAGACATTAATTTTAACTTTAACCGTGCCAAAACGTTACATGACAGAGAGACAAACATCAAATTTCTGAGTTTTACAGGAAATAATTTTTTTTATATGTGGGAAACTTTATACTGCCATTTGCTTAGTCTAATGCAATGATTATACCTTGGCATGATTGTCTGTCCCTTGTGTATCCCTCCTTACAGGTGAAGTTGTGGCAGCCGTCAGTGCTAGTACAGTTCGCATTTATGTCGCTTACATGTTTAAAAATGTGGCATAATAGAGGAACAAGACAAGGGCGTACAAGACATTTATTTTAACTTTAACCTTGGGAGGAAATATGACATCGTTTTGGCCTGATTTTTGTCCGAAGAACTTATAATTCAGTGCAATCTATAGTTAAAGAACACAAAATATTTAAACAAAATCTCCTTTCCGGCCTACACATTACGTCCTACACCCTACATTTGAAAGACGCCATTAAAGTGAAACTTTCCCGACAAGTGAGGAATAGAAAGACTGACGAAATATTAAGATGGATACTAAATGATAAAGAGCTCCCATATTTCTGCCTTCAACATCAAAATAACATGGACTCAAGAACGGAAATTCGTGTGAAAAACTTATTAGAACTCAGCTCGTAGATTTAGTTCTTAATCTGTGACCACCATACACAACACATACTCTTACATGTAACGTCTCAAAAATGTCACCCATGTACAAAACTTTTGTCACACCTCGTAGATACCTTTCCGCTTTCTTCACATTTTGCGTACAGGTCGAAAATAGACATTGTATCTACCATGCATATCTAAGCAAGCTTATTTGCCTACTTGTATAAACTCCTGCTGCTGTCATATGAAGCGCGTAGGAGAGTGCAGCAAATTTTTAGTATTTCATTTCGTGCCGTGCTGTTTATTATTAAAAAAAAGAAAAGTTTTAAAAACGTTTTAGTAAAAAGTTAGTCCGGATCGCAAATGATCCCAAAATTAAACTGTACTCGATTCCTTTCAAAAGGCGTGGAATGATGTAGATATTTTCCCAGGCTCCATAAAAGAACTAATTTATTACTACTCTAAAGCTAACTGATGAATTAGGACAATAACTGGAACAATAGTTATCAGCTCATTATTGACCACTTTGTAACTTTTGGTTGTATTTAGGAGCCGTTTTAAGAAACGCACGCTTGGTTACCCACTGGGTAATTCAAACAGGTAGATAACACTACACAATTGAAATTTTGCGCTGCAATGCTTTTAAGTCTCCTAAAGAGGCTACGGTCACGGCAGCCACTTATGTGCTCATACATGTTCTGTCAACGCATCGCTTGCCTCTTTGTTTTTCAAAGCATATTTTAAACTTAACGCTCTTACTCTTACATCGGTGAGAGGAAAAAAACGCCAGCTTAAAATTTTTACTTTGTAGAAATTGGTTTCTTTTTTGAATTTACGAAGCTTTTGATGTCGAATTTGAAAAATCAATCTGGCAGGGTTTGGACAGCGCGGACGAAAGTGCTCCTACGTGTTTCCTTCTTTAATGGCTTACCATTAACATGATCAAACTGAATACTTACTTTATCGTCTTGTCCATACATCGATTGATTAATATATGCGCTAGCTCTAAGCTTTATGTGAAAATGAGATGATTAATTTCTACTACTAGGACATCGACAATGACACATCGATGTGCTGGAATTTCGACCCACTTCTATCTTTTGTTCAAATATGTTGGTTTTTTTTTAAGGTTGACGTCTAAATAAATAACAAAAATTGAGGGACATCAATACTTACCTTTCCTGTTATAAGGTATTCCGAAACGTATTTTCCAATGTACACTGCCGCGATGATTGCGGAATTGCCACTGTAATAGCAACCAAAATGACCATAACTCTTCGGTGGGATCTAGGAGACGATTGGCAGCTGTCAATAGATCTTTGATTCCCGTAATGGAGAGTTGTTCCCCAAGATTTGCAGGTTTTGGATGGATATGATCCAAAGAGTCTCGTTTTCTCACGACGCCATCTCAGATGAGATCTCTAGGCGTGGATGCAGGATTTACGTCACTCTTAAGATGCTGAAAAACGAAGTTACTGGCGTGAAAAAATCATCAGACGATACCTTTCATTCGAAGTTTTAGCTTATGATCATAAATGGTAAACACAGAATCTTTCGTAATTATAGAAGTCTGTTTGTCGGCGTGGCTTTCAGTTTCGAGTTTCAGTTTCGTAACTATTAATGATGTAGCTAGCCACATCTCGCTTTTAGGTATTTTCTAGTTCGCTAAGAACTTGGTTTCTTTTCCCTAGTCCAAAGAAAATAACTGGGTAGCAG